CGAGGAAGCCATGCACCCCGAGATAAGCCCCCCCTTTACGTGTGTCCCTAAATACCGCCAAAGAGGCTGAAGACACACTCCTCCTCTCACGACAACCGGACGTTGTTAATGCCTGTAAAATTCGGGCCAGGCCTGACAAGCCATGGTCAGTAAGAGAGGAGGAGAGAAAGTCAGCGGTTGGAAATCCCAACAGAAACAACACTATAGTTGTACATGGGATTCCAGAATTGCCAAGTGACAGCTCGGTCAAAGATCGGTACTTTCACGACGTCCAACAATGGCAATGGCTCTCAACCAAAGTTGGTCTCAACAGTATACCGGCCAACAGCGTCAGTAGACTGCCAAGGCCAGCGCACCTGAAGACCATACCCAATCCCAGACTACTTGCCGTCCAGTTCGACTCATATGCCTCCCTCACAGACGTTCTGCACGCATGGTATAATGCGAAAGATCGCATGGGTGGCTCAATACGTATATGTGAAAGTAAGCCTAGACCCACAAGGCAAGAGGAGAGACGGCAACCACCAAGACCTCTGGAGTCAGTGGTCGTCACACAGGCGCTGACCAGTGAGTTAGATACATCAAGTAAAGAAGCCACCACTGCTACAGCCCCCACCCAAGTTAAGAACAAAACACAAAAAAACGGAACAATGCCAGTCCTATGAGGACTGGCGAGGCTAAATTCAACCACGTAAGCGCTCATCCCGCGAAAATACACATCCAGACCTCCCCCCTCATCAGGTACACTCTAATATGTATGTACAGCAACGTTAGGGGGCTAATAGGGAAGGTAGCAAAAATGAGGACGCTGCGTGAACATCAGCACTCCGACATCATATTCATCACCGAATCCTGGCTCTCATCGGACATCTCCGACGAAGAGATGCGTGTTGCTGGCATGGAACTCTTCCGCAGGGACAGGGAACATAGAGCAGGAGGGGGAGTGGCTATCTACGCAAACTCCTGTTTAAAGGCAAGGATGGTTAGCGATACGGCCTTAACCCAGCTCCCAGAGTCTCTATGGTGCTACTTCACTCTCTTCTTTATTCTCTCTTCATTCCTTTACCACTACCTTACTATTCTCTTCCAGGTACCTACACAGACAGGAGTCATGGCAGTTCTCTAAACTTCCCAGCAACCCGTAGCTCCCTAATCACTCTACAAATTACAACCTACTAACCCACAAAACATCCACCTCACCGAAGCTAAAAGCAAGAAAGCAGAGGGGATTTCCTCGTCCACTGCAGGAGTAAACCGAACAACTGGAACCAAGCCCTAAGAACTAGACGCGAGAGATCAAAAACTACTAGTTTTCTACGCTCGCACTATCAATATTGGATATTGGATACTGGAACTGTTTGAGACCGCTTCCGATCCGTACATCTTCTTGATAGGGCCTCCTTGTTGAGTTTGGGTTCAGACCTTTTCCTCACCGCTGGTAAGTTGGACGTATCCAGCGGAATATTGAGTGGTCTGGTCGGATGGTCTGGTCGATTGACTTTTCTGTGACCCACGTGATTCGTGTGTCTCTCTTTAGGTGTAGGATACCCACGTACAGGCCTTGAACGTGAGTCGGCATGTCCAAAGTCTTCAGTTCGACCATGTTTAGTATCGAAATCATAGGCTAATTATGTTGCCGGCCACCGTTGAAGTCTGTTGACAGAATGGGCTGGAACACCACGTTTTGACCCAAAGCGTGAGAGGAAGGGCTTGCGATCGGTGAACGAGATGAATTTCCGTCCATACAACATCTTGCAAGAGCGTCTGACCGAGGAAACTAAGACAAAGTCCTTTCTTCTCTATCTGCGAGTCACGCCTTTTTGCTGACGCGGGTGGTCGAGATGCATTTATGACAGTTTTTTATGAACCATACCGACCTTCGTGCAACAGGATAGCCCCGACGTCAGCGGTGGGAGTATCTGTGGCAACGACGATTTGTGGCTGTGGGTCATAATGTTTTAACAGGAGATCAGATCTGAGAGTGTACTTGAGTCGTTCTATAGCAGTGTCGCATTCTCTTGACCAGGACTGCACAAAACCCCTAGGCAGGAGACAATTCAAAGGCTCCCATGTATCACGCAGGGAGGGCAAGAACGCCGGATAGTAGCTGGTGAGGCCAAAGAAGGACCGGAGAGCTGCAACATCTGTTGGCGTTGGCATCTGCTGCATAGCGCGAATGTTTTCGGGATCGGCCCGTCCACCAGATGCATCAAAGATGAAACCCAAATATTTTACTGACTTGAGGAAGGACTGACGTTTCTCCTTCCTGAGTAGAGGATCGTTGTCTTGGATTCTCTGTAGGACCAGCCGTGTTCTATTCGTCAGTCCCACCGGAAAGGTATCAGGTCTCTCGTCTATGGTCAGCTTGGTGATGCCTGTAAACCAGCTTCCCTCATGTTAACTTCATAGCATGAGAATAAATGTCTACTTACTTAATAATAGTTAATGCTCCAAGGTACCTAATCCGTTTGCCTATGCGTCCTATGATGTCTTGTTGGACGACTGAAGAGCATGCAATTTATGCGACGTATGACGAAGGTTTTAGGCTGTAGGTCTGCCGCCTGGCTTGAGTGAACGGAAAGCGAGGCTGAGGTGGCCAGCGTGCTCGTCTTTATTTTTGGTATCAATCGTAATACTCACTCTGATGATTTCAGAAGCGCCCGCAGCCGAACGCTCAAAGCAATGAAGCTCTTGTCATCCCTCCAGGCTGAGGAAAGTCTTCCGAAGCAGTCCTCGACCGACTTCTGGACCTGGTCATTTGTCTGCTAACCGTGCAGACAGTTAGGCCTAGCTACCGCTGTTTGCCAGCGGTTGAAGGAGGGCTGGCATTGGTCGAGTCATAAACGTGAGATGCGGCCGGCCTTAGCGGGATAACCCATGCTAAGGGCCCTTTGCTGCAGATGCCCAGGATTGCGGGCTCTTCTTCATTAGTAAGATGCATGGGCTATCGTGTACGCCGTTTTTATGCATATTTGACTAGTTGGGAGCAACCCTATTGGTCAGCGACACTTGGAAACAGGAAGAGCGGTAAAAGCCTTGATATTTGGCCCATGATGGAATTGACTGGTTATGTGCTTTTTCAAACCTGGACTCCTAGTCAGAATGCATCAAGGTAAGTGTGGCTTTGCCCGTCCACTTTGAATTGCTGGTGCAGTGATCATAAGGGAACTCATTTTCGGGTATCATAAATAATCTATCAAAATGTTCATTTAGAACTCAGCTTTTTGTGCGACGGATACCAGTGTTAGATACACCATTTAAGCAGTTCAAAGCAGCCGTTGCATATAGTGCTACGAATTGAAATGATAGCTTTAGACCACTCATACATACCAGCAGTACTCATTAGCCCGACCCAGGCAATCTGACTACGGGATAGATATTTCACTTGTCAAGGGGTTGAGTTAATCAGCAGTACAAACCACCCACGCCTATTGCTTGCTCGCCAGGTCAAGCAACTAACCGCAATCCATACGGTTTGAACGATTCGGTTACCTAGACTTCATCAGAATATGGTATACTGCCGATAAGCGAGTCTGACCTTGTAGATGTTCATCACTTCTCTTAGCGTTTGACAGAGTAGATCCATATCTACACACCTGTTGATTGCTGATTTACCTGAATCCCAAACTTCTGAAACCCTTTGTTTCCTCTGTCCACATTGTTAAACTGAATTAATATCCATATGGACTGGTATAAGAGAGATGAATGTAACGATGCTTAACTGCCAATAGATGCCTATATAGACGAAAGGGATGATAAATTTCTTCCCTGTAGTCCTGGTCACATTTGATTTTGCAAATAATACTCGACTCATCTCCCTTGGTTTTTGCTTCTTTTGTTCTAAGTGGTCTGGACGGAACTAAATCACAAGAGTACTCCTGATGTTGTAAGTTCGAATTACACGACAGTAGAAAGCCTTATTCACAAAACCATTCACACAAAGTATTTGATGACAAATATTTGGAATTAGTTAACATTAATTCACTGACTACGTTTTCTCTGGATAATGTGATTAGAAGACGGAGATTATCTGAAAAATGTGATACATTAACGCTATACATTTCGAACAATCTGATAACACATTTACTTGTTAAGGCATTATACATGAAAACTGGAAGTGGGGGGGGGCAAGTATGACACAAAGGAATCCATAAAGAGGAGGATCTAACGGCATAATGTTAAGACGAAGGTTAAGGTCTGCTGTTGGCAAAACGTACTATGCAGCTAAGGTTATCATAATTGAGATTAAACACCTGCTGCAACATAGACCTCAACACTGTATAAAGGATCGCGTCACATCTCACTGTATATATAAATTTACATGTGTGTGAACAAACACACATAGGGAGGTTTAATCGTGATATGGACTAGAGGGTAGGGGAACATGTTCCAAAATGGCTACGAAAGCAACTGGATTCCCAAACATTGATAAGCGCAGACGACAGACAATTATTGGAAAACATATCATTGATAAGGGTCACAGGTTTTAGATTAAAACAGCCTTTACAATTTTGTATAGAAACTGTCAGGGGCGTATACTTAAGTTCGTTGAGGCGCAAGCGATAAATTTAACCCCCCTTCCATTGTGTGTGCAAAAACAATTTGTCCTTACGTTAAGCTTACATTGGTAATGCTTATTTTATCGTACTACCAAGGTTGTCTCAAAATCTCGTCTTTTTTCCGTTTCATCATCTTTCTTATTATTGAATTCCTCTATGTAATATTTTTCCTTCCTCCACTTCCAGTTTTCATATATAATACCTTAACAAGTAAATGTGTGATCAGATTGTTCGAAATGTATAGTGCTAATACAACATCACATTTTCAAGATAATATACGTCCTCTAATTATATTACGTTTTCTTTATTGCTAATTCTCAAAACGTGTAACAGAAACCTTAGAGTGAACTTGTGTTTGCTGGAGTATGCGAATTGGAAGTTGACAACACTGTCACTAAGCTAATGGAACTACCACTAAATTTATAGAACAAGTCAGAGTGTGGGAACGTTGTTTGTAAAATTCATGGAGCATTTTCAAATATACTTAATATACAACAAACTTCAAAATACAGTCCAAAATACTTTAGTATATAACCTGTTTACATTTGAAAATCCCAATCATCAGTAAGAAAAGAGGTTTTACCAGATTAACAGAAGTGGATAGACGAAGAAAGAGTAGAGGAAAGATGAAAAAGAGTACTCATTAAATTTGCAGCATTTTACGTTAAGAAGCACGTTGGAAAAGTAAGTCTACAATAAAAATAAATAATTCACGGGGGTCATAAGAAGAGTTATCTGGATAAACAAATTCTTGAATACTTGTCATAATCTCAGCTTTAGCGTTTTCTTCATACAAACGGAATTTTTCTGGCAACTTGATTGCACTGTACAAATTACGAACAATTTTTTGTGACTCAGGATCAGGCTTACCATAATTCTCCTAGAATTAGAAATATACAAACGTCATAAACAAAGGCTGAAGGTAGTAGGTGACAATACATTAATAGTAAGTTCTTTTCATATACATATGTACAAAGTTTCCAGATAGAAAATCAAGAGTTGGTATAAATTTATAAATATTGAAATTCTCCCTAGGAAACTGGGTTAAATGTTAGGACTACCACCCAGCTGTATCAGTGATCACTTTATACAAATAAGAATAATACGGAAAGACTGGAGATTATTAATTAGCAAAAGGCTTAGGAAAGTGCGAGTAAGATAGTCAAATGAAGTATGAATGCGAATTTTATAGAAAAGTGAAATTTTCAGTAGCAATTTGTAAGAAACTGCACATTATTTTTGACTGAGGTTCACTTATTTTCTGAATTCTAATTATTTATTGACCACAATGAAAGTCATCAAGGCTATTTTAATCCATTTTTCACACAGAACATGATCTAGTGTTATATCAGCATAACGATAAACCATTACAAACGAAGAATATGTAGTGAAAAATACGAAATAAACACTACTGCGGTTGATCACTAATTCCGCAGACTAGATACTCGAATAATCAGTAATGTATACCTGTAAAAGACAGTAAATAATAATAAAGGTAATAAAGCAGCATGAAGACTATGAATACGATGTTGTGAGCTACATTTAACCTCTGAGGGATTATTATTCCAAGTGTCTTTCAGAAACTCAATACAGCAGGCTTCGCACCCGTAACTCACTATGTGAATACTTACGGTAGTTATCCACAGTTACATTCAATGCTCAGTATATTATTTTGGTAGAAATACACTGAAACCATAAAGAAATCAAGATTAGATGATCACCTATAACTTTGTTCAAATGAAGACTACAGAATAATTAAGTACTGTTCTCAATAAAGCAAAAAGAGCTCTTCACAAAGTGATAAAAAAGTCAGAAAAATAGGTCATAGCAAGCACATGAGATGGAATTTTTAAAAAGCTAAGACCACAAACCAATCAAGTTGATATAAACTTGCATATGCGTAAAGTAAATCAAGAATGTGTTCATAAGGTGAAGAAAAAATCTTGTCACTACATAAACATTTCAGCGGTTAATCGGTCATATACGCCTATTTTTAAAATCTTCTTAGAGAAATCTTAGTCGGATGAATATTGCATATTACAACAATTTCGCCATAAAACATCTGTTGAATGATTGAATAATCGAGGTAACAATGAATGAGCTCATAATTCTTATTTATATGTATCAATGAAGTGAAACAGCATAATTTATTGATGATGTTTGGAGCAAAATGTAATGCTCATGATATCAAGGTCAATTCAACGTCACCCTGATGTGATCATGGGTAGTGAGTTGTGTTTTATGATACTTTACCACAGCATCAAGATTCTACATTTATACTAATGAATCACTGAACTTTGTCAGTACTTTGGACAACAGAACGGCGTACATGATCAGTAAGCTATGCCCATTCTTTTCGATAAAACCGCTGTAACTGCTTAAAGTGTTGATTCCTCAAAGTTGAATCCATTAAGAAAACAATTAATTAAAAGTACATTAGCAGTGCATATATGTCAAAATTCACTGGAAGAAATGAGGATTAAGCTTTAAGACAAGAAATTTAAATAAACAAAGATCATATACAAAAATATGATGAAATATGTGAATGCAGTTTAATAAGAAATGCATCATAAAATGGATTAAAATAACTTCTTTTTTACCTGAAGTATTTTACATTGATCGTTTGAAAGATATTTCAATGCTTCCACAATGAGCCAAGAACATTTACCTTCTGCTATATCAGTTCCCATTTTCCCTGTGATTTTACTATCACCGAAGCAATCTAAAAAGTCATCCTGTAGTTAAGAAATTTAAGTTGGCAAATACAAGGATTATAATTAAATTACTTGAGCCTGGAAGTATTTGCCCATTTGGAGAAGGATATGTTGAACATCTTCTAAGATATTATCTGCATCAACCTCAGCCTAGTTACAAAAATTAAAACACCCAACAAGGTCATTATATATATATATATATATATATATATATATATATATATATATATATATATATATATATATATATATATACACTTATTCTACTGGAATAATTGAATTTTGCTTAAACATGAATGACCAAGTAAGTCTACTTCCCTAATAACATGCAAAATAAACTAAAACTGTTTAACCAGAATAAATACTACTATAGTTGTTTGGATAATATATTATTTAAAAATTAGGTTTCCTAAGCAAAGGTATAATGGATGAACTTCTGCAAACTTTAATAATAACAATGTTTAACTTACACCCTTTAAACTAACCTGTAGTAAGTAGCTGAAATATTAACAATTGGACATTAAATAGGGATATTCGGATAAAAAAGACTAATTATGGTTATGGTTAACGAGTCGCGTGATTAAAAGCAGTTTTCTTTAGAAATAACTTCCATAGAGCACATTTTAAGTATTCAACTTCATCATGTACTTTAGGAATACAGTCAAAGATGTACATGTAACTAGATAAAAGTCATTGAAATTAATAGTTCATAAAGATAGGTTCATAGAACAAATTATCGATTTTGCTTTTTATCGGAAGCATAACCTTGGGATAGTATAGAAGTGAATAGATGAGACGAGATAAGTGATATAACATTATGAGGATAAACATTCCCTCAAGGCACACTTTTAAAAAAAGTTCATTGCTTTAGTTATACTTTTAAATAATAGAAGTGATAAAGAAACTGGAGACTGATCACAATTAGTTTCGATTCTGAACTACATGCGATCACGTTTTGCGTCAATGAGTCACATTATGTCTTGAACGCCACCTAAAAAGTCGTAATGAATGAAGAGATACCAATTAAACATACAACTATCTTTCGTCCCATTTTATTATATGACATGAGAAATCTCATCCGTCGCATCTACAGTATCACTCTCATACAACTATCCAGGGAGAAAAATGGAGATACACTAACACCAGATCAATTTTTTTTAAGCAAGTATAGTCATTCGAGTATCTAAGGTTTTAATATTTAACATCCAGAAGACCTCCGTAACAATTAGTTCCAAAGAATTCTAAGCACTGTTTGAATTTAAAATAGTGAGAACTAAATGACATGAAAAACCCTGAAAGTCCAGGTCAAAATTATTGAGTTTTATTCATAGCAATATTTCAACTGTAGTCCTTCTATGATCACTTGTAAGGAAGCATCAATAAAAATATTCAAATGACTGAGAAATACACAAATCAATCCAGGAGATAAAAGTAACCACTCGGAATAAGTGTCATAAGAACAAAACGGATAGGGGAGTAAAAGGGAAGATGACTCACAGAAAAATCTTAGTATAATTATTTTTATATCATACCGTTGTTGACTGGAGTGAATTGATCGGTCTCTATAAGCATATGGGCTCCTGTGCGGAAGCCTTGACATTACCTGTGTTCTAATTATATTAATGGTGGGTAGTGGCTGGCAGCGGGATCCAGGATGTGCATTTCGTTTTATTTGGGACTCGTCAACTGGATGTACCTGCCTCCCAGTGAGTGATGTTGTTTCCACCGGGATTTGACCTAGGGACCGATCGCTTCAAACGCCAGAGCGTTCTCCACTACACCACCGAGCAACGATAGCCACCTCTTGTGCGACAAGTATAGTTTTAGTGTTATTGCTTGTATTATACCGTCGTTGATTGGACCGAATTGATCAGTCTCTATTGGAATACGGGCTCCTGTGAGGATGCCCCGATATTAGCTGTATTATAATTATGGTAGTAATGGATAGTGGCTAGCAGTGGAATCCAGGATGCTAATTTCGTCCTATTTGGGACTCGTCAGCTGGATGTGCCTGCTGGAACTATATTAAATATGGTGAATGTAAGTGGATATGCAGTAAGAGCGTAATGTAAAACAAGTTGATGGGGTGGGAAGTTAGGACAAACTAGACAGGTATAAGACATTAAACACATATGTTAAGTGCTGAACATCTGCTTTCGCTGTCTTACTTTCCTGAAAAAATCCGGGCCACGTTAAAGCAGTGAATACAACTTGACTGGCAGTATTGATAATGCCATGGTCTTTCAGAGGAATTTCAGAAGGAAGATTGAAATCTGCTTACTCTCAAGAGTGTTATGGTACTTTGAAGTTTTATCGCAATAAAGCAGAATGTTAAGTAAAATGTTATGCAATTCAAACCATTCAAGTCAGTAATAAGGCAGCCTGCTTGAACTTTGGGCTACCTCATTTTACCACGGGATATATTGCATCAAATTTCTCCTCTCCACATTGTTTACATCATTCAATTATGTTATCGAGTTGTACCATTTACTCTCGTGCATTTCTAAAATCGTTACAACCTATCACAATACAAGTTGATATCCAAATTAAAGAAAATCACCATGGTAGACGGCAACGGGCTCTCAAGAGTATGACTATTCCGGAAATTACACAACCCATTTATCAACCTTGCGACAATAATCCCTGACCAATAGATTAACTAACAATGTAAAATTATTCTCTTTATTAATATTCATATTATAAATTGTTATTATTAACACTGTTCGAAATGTTGTAAAATAATATATATGCATATACATTTTGTTGTTGTAATATGTCATGCTAAGAATTCCTAATTGTACCAAAACATTGTTCGGAATAGCGTTTATTATTATATTTAACTGAGCAGAAATGACTCTCATGCATTTAAGAATCCCAGAAGTTTGACCATTGACTACTGTTATTTCATTAAGAAGATGTTGTTTTACTGGAAAAGTACTCACCTCCTCAAATAATAACAGTAAAACGGATCACAAGTTACTAAAAAGTGGTGTGAAGGAAAAGAGGAACGAGGCTAATAGATACAGTTTGTATTTGTGAAATAAAACAATTCCAACTTTCCGCACAGAAGTCTGGTATAAGCTTGTTCAATGAAATAATAAAAAATTATCATTGAAAGATCCCCATAGATTATTTAGAATAATAATAATAATCTGAGCGGACAATTATTTTCGATAAGTTCTTCTTCAGGCTCCTCAGTTATAAATCCATGAGAATAAGTGAAATACAATAGCCAAAGTAAGCCATGATATAAAATTATTTGAGATAAATGAGGATTTTTAATTTAGAAGTAGTATTCATCATGGACTGACATCAGTTGGGGAACCATTGAAAATTAGGGAGCACTGGACAGCCGTGACCTGTGGGGTCAACCAGTCGGAAGTGAAGTGGATGCTAACTGAAGACCTTGGGTGACAGTCACGCTATGTCGTGAATTGACAGAAGTTGGAAATTGTGAACCAGTGGAAACCGACCCAGTGACTGAATGGTTAACGCGTTCGCCGTGAAACCTGAAGGTCCTGAGTTCCAACGCTAGCCGGGTCGTGGGTGCGTACTGCTGAGGAGTCCCATACTAGGACGAAGCAGCTGTCCAGTGCTCCCAGATTTTCAATAGTTCCCCAAATGACGTCAGTCCATGATGAATACTACTTCTAAAATAAAATTATTTCAATATCGAAACAGTGTTATGGGTAAAAGGAAATCAAATCAAATGGATGTTTAGGAACAAGACATGTTTCAGTGAATAAATATTTCTTTCCAATAACTTCATTATCAAGCTGTACAGTCGTATTTGTAACCAATAAAATGACAGATAATTGGGCTGAGCAACTTTTTCGTGCAATTATCTGTCACTTTACCGACCATAAATACGATTGTACAGTTTGATAATGAAGTCGTTGAAAGGAAATATTTCTTCACTGATACATGTCTTGTTCTTATTAGTAAATAAATAGGTATAGTTCGTCAGTCAAACGGATGTAAGTTATTATTTGATGGATTAGTAATAGGCCTGGTGCACTAGTTGTACAGTGGAATCAATATGGATAGAACAATTGCGAACTGCAGAGCCTGAAGAAGTAGTTACTGAAAACAACTGTTCGCTCAAATTATTCTTGTTTTGAAAACTTAAAATACCAGACATAAATGAATCCAAAAACGTGTACTCAGTCTCCTTGAAGTAAAGACAGGAGTAAAACAAGGCTGCCTACTATCACTCATGATATCCTTGATTGTGGTCGACTGGATCATGCAACAAACAGTGGGGAGCGAGAAGAGGGGGATACGCTGGCTGCACTGCGGAAAAGAACCTAGAAGACTTGCATTTCGTCAGTGATGACTTGTGTCTGATTTCACACAAACTTGAAGATCTACAGGCGAAAACTAACAAGTTGACAAAAGAGACAGGGCAGCGAAGACGGGACTTCCTTCAAGTGAATATAGAGAAGACAGAGGTGATGAAGATACCCAACCAACGCCACCACCAACAACAACAACAACAGCAACAACAAGCTCCAATCACTATCAACGAGAGAAACTTGAAGGAAGTAGCCTCCTTCACCTATCTAGGCAGCACTGTTTCAACTACAGGCGGCACATGCACAGACGAGGATGTCAAAACCAGCCAGGATAGAAAACACAGCAAGACAAGCGTTCATTAGCCTGAAACCAGTGTGGAGATCTTCTGCACTGCACTCAGCATGTGTAACAAGATCCGGATTTTCAACACTAACGTCAAGTCAGTGCTTCTATATGGTTCAGAGACTTGGCGGGTTACGGAAGGCATTTCCAGCAAACTTCAGATATTCATCAACAACTGCCTTCGCTGGCTCGTTGCGAAGATCAGATGGCCAGAAAGAATAAGCAACAAGGACCTCTGTCAACGAACCAACCAAGAACCTGTCACCCAACAAATATGCACTGGAAGGAAGTGGAGATGGATTGGGCACACACTGAGAAGGCAGACTGGGGACATCACGCGACAGGTCAGGCCCTCGAGTGGAATCCCCATGGGAAGCGACGAGTTGGACGTCCGAGGTGAGGGCGACATGGAGGAGATCGTATGAGGGGGAAATGAGAGCTTGTGGGCTGTTCGTGGAGCCAGGTTCAAAAGATTTCAGAGAACAGAGTTCACTGGAGACATGCTACTGAAGCCCTATGTTCTATTAGGAACCTAAGGGACAAATAATAATAATAATAATGTTATATGGTTGGTGTGTGTTGCTACTCGCACTCTCCTTGACTGTAAATACGAAACAAAAAGGTGACATTGTGGTCATTCGGTGATTTTGTAAGTACAGTAGGCCACATAAGGTGGATATGTATGCCAGTTCGGTTGGTATATTGGGATGAATGGTACTAACGGCTTTTTTATTGATTTGTTGGAAGAGAGATGAAATGATCGGTAGTAACGATGGTGACGATAATAAAAATAATGGTAATAATAATGATCAAATCAACCCAGACTTTTGTTGCTGATGCAGAGACAATCAAGCTGAGACTTGTGCTGAAGGTAAGTGCTAGAGTCATTCTTTCTGCATGCTAATTAGTAATTGGCAAGAGGCAGCTAACTCTACTCCATCTAGTCTAATTAAACTGTCTGGGATTTCCCCGTGTATGTAAAACTTCAGCTGTTAATCTTTTTTGGTATGACTCAATATCGGTTTGTAGGATCTTGCTTCCGTCAAATTCAATTTTCGTGGCTCATTTCTATGGGCGCGATTGCCAATTTGTTTTCTAGCTCCTTAAACTCTGTTGAGGCTGTCAGGATCTGCTTTAGACACAGTCTGTGCTCCTCCACTCTTACATTTACCTGCTTGGCTGTCTCCCTCACATACACTGCGTTACAATCTGCGCATTTGATTTCAAAGACGCAGTTCTGTTGATTTTTCTCAGGTAGATCTTTAATTTTGACTAGGTTACAGCGTAGGATACTTGTTGAGCGAAAACGTACACTTATGTCATGTTTGCTGAGAATCCTTCTTATTTCTCCCAAGGTCTCCTTACGATATGAAATTATCACCATGTTTACCCAGTTCTTCGCGTTAAAAAAAGTTTTTTTACGAAATCTTCGGAATAATTATTTGCTTCCAGTGTGCGGCAAACTGACTTCAACTTATTTTTTAAATTGGTCCAGATGGTGCAGTAAGTATAACAATAAGGAAAAAGAACTACGTGAATCAAGTCGGCTAGGATTACCACTACTCTTTCGGTGGACTTTTGAACAGATTCTTATGTAACTGACAGTTAACATACTGATTTTTTAGATGTCTAAATGGGTAAATATTTTCAAAATACAGACATGAGCTCACCTAAAACCAAATCAATCATGAATAATTACAGTATTTAATTCATTATCATCGGTAAATCACTCAATTCAGACACCTTTGAACAGAATTGATAGCAGTACCAATGAACTGGTGGGTATAAAACAAGTGATGTTCAGTGAATCATTGATAACAGTTGTGACTGATTTTTAATAGCATTGTCGGCATTTCACGATTAACAGTGAATCTAAATTCTAAGTATCCTGTGTAGGTCAACTTTGTGATGATATGTACACATTAATTAGAAAAGGCTCAAATCGGTTATTAGCAGAACATGCTACGCGGCTAAAGTCACCTTAGAGAAGACAAAGCCCATGCTTCAACACAAACCTAAACGGGACGTGAACGAATGTATCACATCCCATTGTGTCTATCAATTTACATGTATGTGTGGACACATATACATAGGGAGGAGCAATCGTGACATGAAGTTAAGGATGGTTGAATATGTGCTTATATTGCTCAAGAAACAAATGACTTCTAACAGTTTAATAAGCGCAAGTGACAAACATCCTTCCTTATCGATAGCAAAATACATTAAAAACTGGTCATAAGATTGATACAAAGAAAGCCTTTACTGTACTGTATAGATATGATTAAGGACGAATACTTATCGATAAATTCAAACTCCTTCTGTGTATTCAGAAACAATTTGTACTTACACTAAGCCTATCCTGGTAGTATTAAGTTCAACTCTGTATACTATTGGTGGTGATTTGACCTTTTATTATTTTTTCCTTTATTTTCGTTCTGCCCTTGTTATCTTTCTTAATTATAATTCCACTAGCTACGTTAACCTTTCTAAGTTTCATATAAATTATTAGACAAGTTCATGTATGATCAGATTGTTCGAAATGTATGGTGCTAATACATCACGTTCCATATAATCTCCATTTTCTCATTACGTTGTTTAAATTTATCAAGGGAACTAATTGTTTTAACATTAAGCAGTATTTTGCAACTTACATCCTTTGACCAAGTAGAATGTATTTGACTCATTCACCGATGATTTACGTCAAAATAGTCTACAGAGAATGGAGGGTGCTTAGAGACTGTCATATTTACTTCGTAAAATTGCAGTTAGTCGATCCAGATTTTGTGTATGAGGAAACACAAGATTTTTGTAAACTTTTCATAGGGTAAGGGAAATCAGTTACTGGAAACTTTATCTTATGCTAGGTGCCCAGACGAACCTAATTTGTATACAATGATACAAGTAGCATATATCTCTAATAACTAGGTTCATTTATTCTCCGCCTTATTTCCTTGTGCTGACTGACAATTCCTTACTGATTATCATTACCGAAGTCATTTCCTGTCAGTCTTACACATCATAGCGCTAGATGAAAAACAAAACTTTCAAGGAAAAATTACACTTTTAGGCAGAATAATTAATTGGTTCCATCTAAATTTCAGTAGAAGATTATTCTTAACTGTTTCTTTCAGAAAACGAGAATAGCAAGTTAGTCAGGAAGAAGTTGGACAGTAAAAGGTTGTCATAGTGGGCAAAAGCTGACAGAGACAGGAAATCAACAGATAAAGTTTAGTGAAACGATTGAAATCAAGGGTATGCGAAAATGGAATGTGTTTAAGTTATGTAGTATCTTTGGTGTCTAACACATCTCATACAGTCAAGATCTGTTCATCTACATTGAAATTTACTTGGATACCAGTCTATCATGGTTGATATAACCTTTTGACTAAGCAAAATAAACAAAGCATTTCCTTAATTTCGTGCTAAGTAACATTCAAAAACTATAAGCCATATACTATACATAAATCGACTTTCTACAAGAAGAATTTCTTCTACTAATTTGTAAAAACGGTAACAATCAACATATTATCAGTTACTAACGTGTGTACTCACCAAAATCATCCCACAAGCAACTGGTAGATAAAAGGTATAAAAACCAGTTTTCCAGTGTGTTATAGCCTCAAAAACATCCACTGAATAATTCCGTAAAAAATGATCAAATTCTTCCCTGTCATGCTTTTCATCACACATACATTGATTTTTAGGATTCGATGACAGTATATCTAAACACTGACCAGAACAAGTATTATAGCTAACTTCATCAAATAATTTGCATAACTTGAGATATACGTTGTTCTTATCCTTCCAAAGTGATGAGTTACTAGCATCGTGATTTTGAGTAAATATTGAATGGATCAAGTATTTGGATGATAAAATCAAATGTAAACCGTCATTGATTCCAATTAGTCCACGATCTAAGTCTAACTGTGTACAATACCAGCATGGTTGACCACGTCTCAGCGTAGAATTGTCAATTATGTCGTCCAAAATAAGGAATCCTGCATGCAACTAATAAATAATAAAGAAAATGATAATCATGATTTTAAAAGTTTGAAACCAATAGTTTGTGAATTTCTAGCTAAATTCTAAATAAGGGTTTTAACTATGATCTAGATTAGCGCAAAAGTACAGGGATTACGGAAGCATGTCGACTCAAGCTGCCACAGTGAACAACAGGACAAAAAGAGGAAATCTAACAAAACGATGAAGTATAAGAATAAATAAGAATAATATGAGACCAAAAGGAACAAGTACACGAAGGGTAGTCAAGTGTTCAGGATTTTAGGGGAAATCCTTGCAGTTACAAACGATTTCAAGGTGCCACTTACACTCTCCAACCACTAGTCGAACCACAGCTGGATAGCCCGTAGTCTCGTATACACCTCATGCTAACAGCCATATGCTTGAATTGCTAGAATATTCTTAATTCTAACAAATTAATCATAATTCACCTAACGTAGGATGTCGTAATGTTTAACACGTCATATCAACCTTCTGTTGGTGCAAGTTCATAACCACTTCCACTGACTCACCTTCCTTGTCCATCACTTTATAAATAAGCTTAATATTGCTCACCGTGGCCTTATAACATTCGAGTAATGCTACCAAGACACCTATTATCGGGAAAAAGCTTTTTGGTGCATAACGCTAAGATTCCTCAGAAGTAGGAAACAAATTTAAAAATGTCACCTCTCCTTGATCTCAACCATGATTAGTTGGTTAACTAGAAAATGTCAATGAGAGTAGTGTTATTCTAGGGAAAAAAATACAATGATTGATTCCTATCTGTAAGATGCAAAGCTATGATTTCACAGGAAAAAGTGTCCTTGAAGATGAATTTCATGTAAACAGACAGGTTTTACCGGGTTAATCATTTGTTTTTGAATGTCGTAAAAGATGACTTCAAACTATTCGAAAAGTAAACTTTAACATCTTGAAAATGAGGATCAATTTCCAAAAAGGTAGGACATTATAAATAAAATATGTGGACTATAGAGTCATGGAAATAGAGTACCACATCAAATACTCATTGAAGTATACCAGTAAAAATGTTTTGTTAATATCCTGCTTCATAAGTTATTGGTGAAGTATTTTTTTACTGCAAGCATATACATATATCTAAAATAATCCTTGCAGATCTATTCTTCAAGAGGACAACTGATTGATTGAAAACCTAGTTACAGATAAATATGATATAATAAAGGGTTTGTGTGCATTACATAGTTGTTTCGATGTGGCTGACTTTGTCATCCCATATTTTCATAATTTAATTTATCAAGTCTGTATCAAAGAATTTGTTGAAGACATGAAGAATGACATTATTTCTCATGAATGGAGATGAACTGATTTTTCCGTTTACAACCATTGACCAGTTTCAGCTAGCTGGTAAATTTTCGCGTTAGTAACAGATCTATGCATTCTAGACAATGTCAAAGAATGCCACCTAAGATATCTTTCATGTGAAGATAACTCTTGACAATGTTAACTACCACCATCTTACAACTATAGAAAGCAAACAGGTAAGGTGATGATAAAATCCCTATGAAGAAATAGGTTAAAAAAACACTTTAGTTTTGTAGCATAAAGTGCGAGATTTTTGACCAAACATCTAAAAGATATTTGGATGTCTTCGTTATATTGTGTTCTCTGAGGAGCTGGGTTGTTTAATCGTGAAGCTTTCATCGTCCTTCTAGACGACATCATCAGCACTAACTTCACGATTAAACAACCCAGCTCAGAGAACACAATACAGCCAAGACCATCCACCTGAGCTACAAATATTCTCCACTAATTCGATATTTGGATATGCTCAGTGACATGCATTAATTAATGAAGGTAAGCTCGTCGGACATAATTCAGGGTTGTGTATTTCATTTTATTTGAAATTTCTAGTTTTACAAACAGGAATCCTTGAAGAAACTTTGAGTATAAGCATCAACTTTAGGCAGTTATCCACCTCGTGTCAGTAGGAAAAGCAAATGATTACTTTTTATAAATAAATTATTTCACTTGCTGGATATATAATCCATAGACTGAGTTCAAAATTTATAATACATATTACTTGTGAAAACATACATCACATTTCCCGACTTCGGCGTCTATGATGATGATTGACACATTTAACATATCTTTTACTCAGACACGTAAACTTCAATAAAGTAATCATATTTTACACTAAGAACTACTGCAGACTTTTTTACATGTAGGAAGCAAAGTTTTCAGCCAAACTTGAAAACAATCAATTCAAAATAAACAAAGCATCTTAATGATTATTATGATCAGAAATGTTGTGTATTTCATGAAGTTAGTCGAGCACCAAAATCGACTAAATCAATGTAAGAATATTTTAACCAAATTCCTGTGTCTTCATAAAATTAATACAAAGTTCATTTTGGACAACTGACTGTTTGAACCTTTACATCTTCAGTGGAATCACTCAGATTGCATTGAACATCAAGATAAGTAGTCAAATAGGTACAATAAATGAACTTGTTTTCTACCAATCGGTTTCGAAACATGATAATTGGTTGTAATCACTCATAACATCGTCATATTCTTGCTATCATTTGCTCTTGGTAAGTATCTGAGTTTTCGAAATGTGTACGGTGTATTGGTAAGCTCCTTGGTGCATTGATATGTTGATAAAAGCATTAAGAATTATTCTTCACGAGGTTATCGCATTCGATCAAAAATTGACTTTGGAACGTCTAAACATAAGAGCTATTTCAATATTTAGCTTCGATATTATGCTCTATAAGAAACTGATTGGACTCCAAAAAAACAAATCATATGAAACGAAGCAAAGGCTAAATAGTATTTAGGTGGATGAGCATGCAAAAAGTAGTCAGTTTTGATGCAACAAGCTTAAGTACCATCGTACCAATCAGTCTGAATCTCTGCTTACGCGCACACTGACTGAAAGCCAAACGTTAAGATGTGGTTATCGCAGCGAGCGATTTCAGTGCGCAAGTGGGGTGGCCAACTTAGGTAAAAAGGTATTTAGACTGGGTGTTTTCGAATCCCAACCGGCCGAACGGATAATGGTAATTGCCTGCTAAAAGTGTGCGTAGACGACCATCTGGTTTAGGCCAAAGCAAAATTCAGGTATAAAGAGAGACAGTCTGATGCAGCATTCACCAACCTCAACTCAACAGTGGATACAGATAGATTGTATCGCTACCAGTCGTTATAGGAGAGAATCGGTGGGAAATTTCTGCCCCGTTTAAAGTATGTGAGTAAACAGTAATCTCCGGTTGGCTTGAGGACCCATATGTCTGCGCCTATATAAACGCAGAAAAACTTCAGCAACAAGGCCATTACGAACGCAGTTCGACGACGAGAATATTACGGTTGCTTTCATTGAGGAGCTGGTTAGAGTTATCGGAACAATACATTGTCACAAATTCAAATGCCTGGTGCCATCTCCAATCAAGTGAAAAACAGAATAGAAGACCTTGACTCACCCTAAGAAAAAGTTAGTGGATCTCAATAGCTTCTTCTGATTCAGTGGATACGCGTGAACACATTCCTGAAAGATCAGAGCACAAATAGTCTCAAGCTAAACGCCTCTAAACGTCAGTGTTAATTTTAGCCTCAAGCATAAACAAAACTTGTGTGAGCCGCTTAAGCCCTATGACTCCTGTTGCATTGATTGTATTTCTGAAGAAAGTAAATCGAGTGTCAACTATCTTGGATTGAGATTTATTTTGGATTTTTGTTGGTCGTCTCATGCTTTGTTGACTTCCAAGAAAATCTTTCATTTAACGTATTGCATCAAGAAACTGAGGGTCCTTGGTATAACAACGTCTACTTTTGCAATTTATTAATTCCTGCATTTTACCTATTCTTCTCTATTGTTCCCCACTGATTTTTCCTGGTCTACTAAAAAAGGACTACGTTATACTGCGTAGAGCTTTAAAAGCCATTAGTAGGGTGGGTGCTATGCTTTTAGGTCAACTGATTGACATTATAGTTGACAGACATTTGAATTCTAGCACGCAGCTAGCTACAGTAATTTCAACTGAAATTGAACATCCACTTCGTTTACAGCTCTCTCTTTGTATCTACTCAGGGAGGACGAGGAGAAATTACATGAGACTGTACAGCTTGTACAGCTAAATACAAGCATTTGACTATACCTTACTTAGCACTCATATTATATGAGGAAAAAGGTGTAAGAACAGAATTCACTTATCAACTTTCCAACAGTAAATAATCTCTTCCAAATATTTTAATTAACAATGTAAAATGTCTCCATCATTAATATTCTTTACATTACTTGAGTTCTTATAACACCACTATCCGAAATGTTGTAAAGGAGTATGCATATACATATATCTTCTGTTGTTGTAATATGTCATATCGAAAATTCCAAATTGTAGCAAAAATTATTTGGAATAAAGTGATTATTATTATTATTATTATTATTATTATTATTATTATTAGTAGTAGTAGTAGTAGTAGTAGTAGTAGTAGTAGTAGTAGTAGTAGTATTAAGCAACTCAAATGTGAATTGAAAAAAGTCAACGCAATGACTGAGAGCAGTGATAAGTACCAAATGCTAAACAGATGGAAAAGGTAGCAGAGATAAGTAATTATAGACATTTATAAGCAGCCAGACTATAGTGGTTACAAATGTCCTGCAGGAAGTTGAACTCCGAGTTTGATTTAATCATTATAAGAGTATAATTTTAATATTATTTTAGCATGTTTAAAAAATCATAACAAGATTTTTCTGAACTTTTTACGATGTAAGTCATATCTTCAGCAGAATGTTGGGGATATTTATTGACATCAACAGAAAATGTACAGACAATCAAAGTATGTGCATGTATGTACGTTTTAGAATGTGTCATTTCCCATGTATGAAAATACCTGTTTATCGATAAAAAAATCTGTACTGGGTGATGAGTGAAGGTGAAATGAAATCTGAGTCGTGACCGGATTCAAACCAGCGGCCATCGGGTTTCCGGCCCGATGCTCTACCAACTGAGCTACGTGGTCCGACT